TCTGAGGGTATTACTTGACTTGGAACAAAAAATATATATTCTACAACGGCACTTGTAAATTAAGAAAATTGTGTCCAGCCCAACTAGTTCTACCTTACGTATGCTGAAATCAAAATCATATATGTAAGCATTTATATCAAACTATTGCCTATCTTCACCTTATATATTAAGGTCAGTGAAAAGAGCAGTTTATGGATAAAGGGCAATAATAAAGGGGTAGCCTTTAAACATGATTAGTTGGTGTCTATTAAAGATGTGTTAAAATGAAATATATACTGCAGGTGAAGGAAATTACTAACTCCTTCTAGGATGATGGACTTACTATATGTGTATTTCACTATCCCTTTAAAATATTTGTGAATTTGACTGCATTCTGAGGAGACAGAGCAATGTGGTAGATTTATGAGGGTCTGACGGAAACAGGGCTAGGAAAGATTATGGCATACTTGTTTAGAAAAACTGAGAACTGGAGGGTCCTGATTTACACTGACATATATCTAGATGAAACTATAGTTTGCAAATTGCCTAGAGGAGTTATCTTTTATTAAGTGTTTGATGGGTACAGAAATGTACCTATCTATTCTATAACAGTCTAGGAATACCAACACAATATTTGCAAATACAATTTCAATATTTTTAGATTTTCTTAAATATTTTCATTTTTATGCTCACCTCACCCAACCGTGTGCTGAGCTCCCAGAAGTACCTAACAACCCATATGGTTAGAGTTTTGTTGCATTATTTTGAATTCTTGAGATAGCATTGTGCTGAAATGTTCCCTGCACTGCAGGAGTAGGAGAGATCAAACCACAACTTAGGCACTTTTTACCTTTTTTAACAGCTTACCAACATATTTGACACTTTCTGCATCTTAACATTTAGAAAAAGATGTCAAAAACCCCAACGTTCACAATTAATGCACTTCCAAAGGCTTTCAAGTTTGTGACTTCACTGTGATGCCACTACATATGTTTAGTTTGAAATTAAGCAAGGAGTAACAGACAAAGCATGCAGTTTTACCAAGCACTGTAAGATTTCTTGCAAAGAAAGCCTGAAAGACGGGTAAGTTTTCTACTCAGATCAACTTTCCTCATTTTATTCTGACTGATACAAGGTAGATGACTTGTCTAGGAGGAGGAGGTGGGGGGCAGGTTGGCTTTGCACAATAATTTTTGGTACATTAACTCCTCTTCCTTGAGGAGATGCTACTTTTTAATCTTATTTTAAATCATTATTATCATAGGGAAAATCTGTATTAGTCACTACAATCCTAGTCATATTTTATTAATGCAATTAAAATTGGTGTTTACTGATGCTTTAGCAACAAAATGATGAATTTAATATCAATTTAACAATGGATGATGATATGCATCCAAGTTCTGTCAGCATTTTTTCAAGCCAGGTGAATGCATTCTACAAATATTAGGCAATATTTTGCATAACAATCCACCTATTAAACAGGAAGTTTTGTCAAGCATGTATATTTTTTTTTCCACAAAAATGTGGAAACAGGATTCGAATATTTTAAAGAGTTCACAGGCTTCTAATAATGACATAGTACACATTATCTGTTAGTGTAAGCTTTTGATCAGCAATAGAGAAAATAAAGTTTATGACCAGACAACTATTTATACTTTCATTATGAATATATGTTCTGTACATTGATAGCTTTAACAAAGTTTTTCTAGTGTTGTACCATTGTATGAAGAGCTGTACATTTGTGATAAGCCACATGCCCTGACCCATTTTCATCAGTAACTTGCATGGTTTTCTTAAATCATTAACTTATCAGATCTGGGTAGGGATGTCTGGATCTTTCTGGATGTTTGTATAGTGCCTAGCATAATATAATGTGTACTGGAATATAAGGAAATAATTGGCACTTGTTAGTTATAAGCAGCACTTGTTAGCATAGGCTTTCTAGCATGCCAACAAGCAATTAACCTCAGCATCAGTCAATCACCTTTTCCTAGTTAACTCTCATTACACTTTGAGGACAGCTGCCATCTTCTCGTGGAAAAATACATGTAACTGTGCCCCTGACTGTCATGCGAGTTTCAGACCAGTGTAACTTTATTCTATCCAAAAGAATTAGAGCTTTCTAAATAGTAGGGTAATCAAGAAAATTATTTTTCTTCCATGACTGTAAATTAGGAGTAAGTGCACCTAATTCATTGGTGCTGCATCTGTTTAAAACTGTGGCACCGAAATTGGAATCAATCTTTTCTTTCTGTACCTAAGAGGTGAAAGTGTAGTACTGTACGTAAGTCAATCAATGCAATGATGTTGCTTAGCAATGTAAATGCAAAAGAGTAGATTGCTGATGCCAAGAAATTTGCACCCACATATTGCACCTGTCAGTAAATGGGAGTTTGCATTGCAACTGCACTGCAGTGTGGAATTATTGCCCTAATTAGACACTTCTTCATCTCTATTAGGTATGCCTGAAAAGACAATATGGTGAGGTTTTCTTATTAGCTCATCATTGCTATGGGTGGCAGGAGTAACTGGTTTTGTTTGTTTTTACTCTTTTTGCTTGTTTTTTTGTTTTTTTTTTTTTTAAACAGCAAACACTTCAAATCAATTTTTGGTAGGAGTAGATGACCAGAAGAGAATTTCTGTGTGCTATTTGTGTAGAAGAGAGAGGTTGACGGTGGGTTAATAAAACTGTTTATTCCCATTTCCCTACACGTAAGCATGATTTTCTTGGAAGAAAGGTATGGAAGAGCTGAACTGTGATTTAAAGCACATCATTTTATTTCAATAGCAGGAAGCAACTTCCATAAATGACAACTTTTTTTCTTTTGATAACTCCAGTAAAATACAGAGATGACACCTGTATGAAGCATTATTTTTAGAAAGAGGGACTGGGACACTTCTTCTCCCTTGACTATCAAAATGACATATAAATATCATTTCTTTTACTTTTTCTGTGAGTTTTGTGACTTGTGCCTTGGTGTGTGACTGCGATGTGCTTTTTTTGTTGACAGATGTGAATAAGGTATAGAGAGTACTAAATAAAAGCTGCCTGGTCCAAATAGGCAGCAATATGCAGCACAACTTAAGGAAAAACAAACAAAAAATCCAAACCAAACCAAAAACCCCAACCAATAACAAAAACTCCCCACAAAAGGAAACCAAACCCAACCAACCAACAAAGCACAAAAATAAAAAAAAAAGAAAAAAAAGAAAAAAAAAGAAAAATAAGAGATTCACTGTAGACTTATTTCTTCCTGGTCAGTACATTAGGGAATAAACTGAAAAATATGGAGTATTTTTCCAGTGAGTGATGAAAACAAAAGAAGGAGAAAGTTGAGGCCTGTAAGGTATTTTAATTTAAGAGTTTTACATATTCTATTCTGAATAAATCTTTCAATTATGAATCGCAGTCTATCCAGCTTAGGTAAGAAAACCGTAGAATAGGAGTTTCTTTTTTGTTTTACAGAACTTTAGCTATTATTGCTTAACATTTTCTGTGTTTTGCTGACTGAAATTCTTTGGGGAATGTTTAAAGAATGGACTTTTTAGTGGATTTCTTTGGGGTATTCTTTTCAAATAGTCACTCTTGAAATCATCCTGAGGCATCTTTGGATCTTAAGTCACTTTATGCTGTATTAAGTCACCGTCTAAAGTTCCTACTAGTAGCTGGGAATTACCTTAGCGATATTAGCCACTTTTCAAATGGAAAAGTGAAGTGAAAAAGTTCTATGATAGCAAAATATAACTAGATTTAACTTGGTTGTTGATAATATGTTTTCTTCTAACTGTATCTTTGTTATCTCTAAGGGAGTTAACAATCATAAAATTTTCATCTTGCCCTAAGCATCTGATTGCTTTATTTGGTACCGGAGTTTACAATCCCAGAGCAATCCCTACCCTCTTTGACGAGTCACATACTTGCATTTGGAGGGCTTGTGGGGCCACTCCCTCACCCAACCTGGCTGGGTTGGGTGAGGGAGTGGCCCCACAAGCAGCTCCACAGGCAGCTCTGAAGGAGCAGTAACCTGCATCTGGGCTGTGGCATTAAGCTAGAACAGACTGAAACTGCTTCCTTCAGTAGCTGGCACTGTTATGCTAGAAAGCATAGCCGGGCTGTACCTATACAAAATATAAACTCATGCCAATGCAGGAACACAAGATACTGCAGGATCATGAAACAACTGTTTCTTTTTTAAATGTTACATAAACCTCATGGTGCAACTGTGGTAGAATAGGAAGCTATAGGAAGCTATTTTTCATGTGTAACTATTATGTGCCTCGGGAGAGCAAAATGTTTTTCACTATATTTCTGCTTAAACTATTAAGGACACTACTGGAAAAGTTCTTAAAAGGAAACTGGATTATTTGGATTAAAATATTTTTAGTAGTCTGATAATTATGTAAGAACATGAAGAAATGTGAAGGGAAGCAGAACCATGTAAAGCAGAAGGGAGTGTACTCACTGGTAAAAATGAGGTGAGAAAATGTTATGTTTTGGTATAAAACATGTTTCCTGGTAGTACTTTTGCTGAAATCAGCATTATGAAGCAGACCTATGATGATAATTAGTTATGTAAACTCATAATGCAAACTTGCAGTGTGTTGCAAGCCTGGTAAATTTGTTAACTTTGTTTTTTTTAGATTAGACTTTGCTCATATTTAAAATGATAGATACAGGGAGAATAGGACAATTCTTTCTTTGTTTTGACTCAATAACTGTTCTATTGCCTTTTTGCCTGGTGAGTTAGAGAATCATTTTGGCCATTTAACTTGTATCTGCAGTATGTTCATGTAGTGCAACATAGTTTTGCCTCTTGGTTATTAAGACCAGCCACCATAAAAATCCATTTTAACTGGTGACTTAAGAAATGTTTCCTTGTCAATAAACAAGAATTTGTAGCCTTGGTCATCTCTGATGACTAAAATATATGGTTGCAAAACATGAAATGGTATTAATTATTCAGTCTAAGTGCTCTATTCTGATACTTTTTTGTACTTACACACACATTTTCTTTTCCTAGGTATCTTTTTAGTGCTGAAATGGACACACTAATTGTGAACCACGTGGTAAGGAGCTCCTTCTAAAATATGCAGTAGCACATTTACTGGAATTTAACAGGCTGTGTACTTTAAAGCCTCTCCTGCCTGTAATCCTGTGAACAAACCTTGCAAGTCACAGTGCCAGCTCGAGATGCAGCACAGCACAGAACTGCAGCCCTGGAACAGCCCCCACCATGGCAAGGGACAGAAGGGAGACGCTGACCTGCAACGGGACCAGAGACCTCGCTACCAGGATTTGCTCACGGTTTTGCTTCTGGCAACTCGCATTTCCATTTTTCTCAAAGCTTCTACATCTGTGTCATCAGACAAAGCCCCACGAGTGGTGGCAGAGCAAACTGTAGCCTTCATTTTCAAGTTCGAAGAGAAAAAATTATTTACATGTTTAAATCCCAGAACTGGCTGTCCAGAGGTCACTCTTTGTTGGCCACTGCTATGAACCATTAAGGCTTCCCAAAACTCAAAAAGAAATGGGACATAGTCAGGGGCAGAAAAATCTCATTGTTTAAAATTTCCTTAAATTCCATTTCATTGTATTATATGATTTTTGTCCTATCAGAGGTATATGAAAGATGGGATGTTTCTATCATTGCTTGCATGAATGACTACTCAAATTGACTGTCAGAGCTTGCAGGACCAATCTTTGACCCTTCTTAGGTTTGTTTTAAACTGAAGGAAATTATCTTTTAATTGATTAGGACTTTAGGCTATTTTTAAAGGAAAATTATTGATTTGTGCAATGAATTTTACTGCTTAATCAGCCTTCCACCTCAGTATTTATATATATTTTTGGTTACAAATTTAGATAAATGTTTAACTATGTGTTTTAATGCTGGCCTGCCTTTTTTTTTTCCCTTTCCTGTTTAAGACAGGTTTTTCTGAATCAAACCCTTGAATTTAGTGACAATTAGTACAATTTCCAGACACATCAGCAAGAGTTTCTGTACTAAGTGTGGGAATGTAAATGTTAAGAGGAAGCACAAGTAATGACTTTTTTTCCATTCACAAAGGAAGCACTAAGACATTAAGGTTACTCAACAGAAATTAATAAATGCAGCCTGGGAAGTTATTATTTTTCCAAACTGTGAAAAGATCTCTGAAATAATAAAGATAAAATACAACAAAAACCTGGAGAAACTGTCTAATTTTCTTAAAAAATAATAGGAAACAAAAAAAAAGGCATTTCACAGTGAAGAAAATCTTCAGGCAGGGGAAAAAAAGATTTGTTTGGCAGAGTGTTAGGGTCGCTTGAAAGAAAAATTCAGGGCCTGTTCTTTGCTGCTACTTCAGAAGTGTGTTGGGCATTTAATCTTAGTTGCCCTGTCTGCAAATAGAAAATGATAATGCCCTTTTTGCAGTGTTGTACAGTCTCTAGAAGTTTCACAATGAAAGAGGGAAGCATTTCATAGGGTATTTAAAATTGCCTGTTGGACCTCATGTTTTTAAAATAAAAGTTTAGACTACACATCCTGGAGGAGATGGGTCTCTAGGGCAGTGCAGGCAATGTTTAAGTGGGGTATTTTTTTTGCTTCACTTTTTTTTTTTTTGTTGTTTTATTTTTTAAACTGTTTAATGGACTGATTTTTGGTATCCTCTCTGGAACATACAGGTCTCTGGAGACTGATAGAAATGAGGTTTGCTGGGAATAAGAGAGGCGTCTTTAGGAGATCCCATCATCATCAGAATTCTGTCATCATCACAAAAACTTGAAATTAGTATGGCCCATATCTTAGTATTTCAGCTTCTAAACTTTCAGCAACATTTTGTCTGGCTAACATCTTAAATGCCATGGCTTTCCTATTAGATAAGCAGGCTGATTTCATTACTATTTCTTGACAGAACAAGATTAAAAAAAAAAAAAAAAGACTTGTGAATCTCCTGTAGAGAATTTTGGTGACAGAAACAGAACTGCTGTTATATGGCTGTACATATTTTATGATACAGAAAAGGAAATTAACAGGAAATTAGTAGAATTTCTACAGGAATCTTTAGAAAATCTATGTAAATATAAAATACAACAAGCAAATGGCATCTCCACAGTTTATTCTGGCAGCACTAATCACGTTTATTCTGACAACGGGCAAGGAGTGTGCCCAGGGTGGTGTCTCCTGACCCCTGCCCCATGTTGCCAGCCTTTAGCTCTGCTCTGGTGTGGCTGTTGTCACCACAGAGCTACGCAATGGGGCTGTGCAGTTTTGTCCCCTGGCATATCCCATATCCTGACCCTGAGTGTAGCCCCGTGCTCTTGCAGTCATTCTTGAAATGTGTTCTGGCCTGGAGCAAGGGCCCAAGTTTACAGGGCCAGAGACATAGGAAGCCCCACAATTTGACTCCTGTCTGAAACTTTCAGCATTTATGGTAGGAAAGGTAATTAACAAAGCAGATACAGAATTAAGATGTTTTATCATAATATCAAAAGCAAGAATGCAACATTTTTCTGTTTAGGTAATCAGTGAAGGGACAACAGTGTCTGTTACCTGCAATTTTGCCAGTGGTAAGTACCAGCTAAGAGCTGAAGCACAGATGTATGAAATGCTTGTTATTTATCACTGACATGCTTACAAGATGCCACCAAATGTATCAGGCTCTACTATAATAGAAGAAACCATAATTACTTTGTGATAAAAATGGATATGTTATAATTGTTGGTGAATTAAAGACTCAAAAAGAGATTAACCTTTGATAACAATTTGTTATCTGTCTTTAATTAAATCCAGAGCGATTTAAATAAATAAGAGCATCTTTAGGGCTTATGTTTTAATTGTGAAAATGACTAATTTGTGCATGTCGTTATTTCAAGCTACTTTAACTGCATTACTTGCATAAGTTCAAGAAGCAGAATTTCATTCCATCTGGTGATTATTTACTTTAATTAATCATACAGTCAAAAAACATAGAATTAAAAAAATAATTCCTAAAAACCTGTTTGAACCTAATAGAGAAATTTAGGTGACTATATATGTCCATATGGAACCTGAAAATTTCAACACACTTCAAAAAATGAATAGAGAAAACAGTCAGGGAGCTACAAATCCTGTGATTTCCTCAAAAAGCCTATTTTTGCTACTATTTCAACAGATTTATGTATAAAGAATAGATGTATATAAACTGCTTTTGAAGATATTTTTATTTTTTAAAAAAAGTAATGTGTTATGTGTGCTACTGAGATGGAAGCTGTTTACTTTCACTGCACTCTGGACCTCTGACCCAAGTTAAATACACAAGGAGACCTAGTATGTTAATTAAAGGATCAAAAAAAGTTTCCAATTGGTTATATTAGGTCTGTCAGTGAAACATTTTTGGACTTAAGGAGATGTGTGACTCACCTGAGGACGAGGCATGTTAAATCATTTACAGGTTGGGCACTTTCCAAATCATGAGTGCTATCATTCTGATACCCTTAAAAACCACTAAGTTGACTTGCAGACCATTACATTCTAGCAGGAAATTACTCAGAAGCCTCACTGGATCAGCAGCAAGCCTACAAGTGTACTTCTCTACAGTGGGACATGACCACCCTGTCTCCTGTCTTGGACATGAAAGCCATATGATAAATAATAATAACAATAACAAAACCAATAACAGTAATAAATACCTAATATTTAACAAATAAAAAGTCTTAATAATTTGGTATCTATCTAATATATTAAAATTCAGAATTATTAATGCTGGCAAAAAGTAGCAGAGTGCATCCCAAAAAAGTGATTTTTGCTGTGTTGTTACAGATGTTCCAACTATGCAAACAACAGGTTGCAATGCTATACTTTTAAAACTCCAGTGGTATGAAAATGTGCACATGTGCACAGCAGATCACTGGTTATTGCAGTAAAGGCAGTCTCTGCTTCTGCTATACATTTTCCCTGCTGATATGCTCTTTTTTTTTTTTTTTGAGGTTGTCATATGGTATAACACTTTTACTACTTGACTCCTCCCACTTTTCTTCAAACCACATCCTGATTTTTGGCCTCAGAAACTAAACATATGCACAACTTACAGAACAACACATGATATTGTTTCTGTATAACATCATACCAGCTGGGATATAAATTCTTACAGACAATTTTATGTGAATGAAAAATACCTACATTAAGACATTTTCCATAGTTGTGCAATACATACCACAGTAGAGCATATGGTTTAGAGTCAGAGATCCTCACTTAGAATTATAACAAAAGTCTCAAGTCAGGCCACAGATCTTCAGACAGTGTAATTTTGAATAGATCATCCTAATTTATTTCTATTTTATTTCTTACTACTTCTATTCTGTTTTGGATTTCTGGAATCCAAACTCAGCTAGTTTGTGGGCATATTTAAGACCTTTAAATTTTATCTATTTCATTCATTTGGTATCAAGTCAAATAAAATTATCATTTAACTAAGGAGTAGGTAATTTATGATGAAATTTTAACTTGTATCACGATTTGAAGATATGCCAATAGGCATGACTCCTCATTTTTGGGAAGTATATTTCATACATATTTTCATTAGTAAAAAACTATTTTTTTCTGATCTTTCAGTGTTGTTTGTTTATGTATGTATGTATCTATGTATGTATGTATGCATGTATGAATTTATTTATTTATTTATGTGGGGCAATGGTGGAAGTGGTTGGGTGGTTGTTACATTCCCCTTCAGGATAAAGAATCTGCGTGTGAGGCTTTTCTCCCACGATCTATAAACTTTAATCAAGTCATACTCAGCCCTCCTTTTTAATAATCAAAGACATTGAGTTTATGCTTTCACAGCAAATAATTTTCTTCTGCTCTTAAATGAATTTTAAATGCAATTTTGTGAAGTCTCCATTTTTTTCCCACCATTCTCATTAAAATATGGACAACAGATCCGTGGGAATTATTCCAACAATTGCATCAGCATTCAAGGATTACATTTTCTGTTCATGCAGCTTCATGGTGGGAGCTCATGTTGGGTTGCTGATCCACCATGGCCCCTAAATCCTTGTAGAGTTGAGGCACTCCCTGTCACCGTACCCCATTTCTGGGGGGGTGAAATCCATTTGTATTATGTTTAACTATGCATTCATGTCTCCTAAGATGCTCATCTCTTGCAATGGATCTAGCTGATAAAGAAATCTCTTCCTTGGTTTCATAACGATGTTCTCACTGAGGAATCTTTCTGTCATCCTCGGATCCTTAGCATGGTAGTTTGTACTTGCACCTCTGGGTCACTGCTGGGAATACTGAATAGCACTGGGCCTAGTAAAGGTGCCTGCTGGATACAATTAGAAACAATTCAATATAATTTTTCTTTTTAATGTATCCTTTGATGACCTGCTAGCCAGCTCTTGATTGAAATTGTCTACATTGATGCTATGTAGCAGAACTTTTATTTTCTTAAGAAAATTATCTTGCAGCATTTACAAACTTTTATTATGCATTTATCAATTAAACAAAAAGAAGAAAAGCATCCAATGGACAGGTGAAAAAAATCTGTTTGCCACATAGCAGACAAAACACTCAGGATTAAAATTCTTCAATTTTCTCTGCACATATAACTTCATTTCAGAACATTTCATACATAAATAATACTGTTCATCTTTCAGAACTGGAAGGATTCTGACTTGCCTGACATATCTATCTCAAAATGTGTAAGGGATTTCTGAATTTATTGGAACCACCTCTGAGAAGCTTACAGGACTGATGCCAGACACTGGTGCATGCGCTTTCCTCAGTTGTATTTAAGATGTTTTGCCAACAGTTTGTCTCTCAGATTATGGTTCATAATTTGCCACAAAACCCAAATTCATAAAATTAAATAAATATTCTTAATTAATTCTTAATCCACCTTTTGGCAGACATATCTTGTTTTCATTTCTTTCTGTAAAAGCAGCAACACTGCATCTCTTATGTTGGCAGATAGACGTACGTCCAGAATCCTCCCAAAATTTTAGTATTGTCATAGTCTTCCTCCTTCTCACCCCCCAGTATTTAATGTGCCTGAAAGGTGTTTGCATTTTTCTAAGTAAAGAAAAAGGAGGGAGTAAACTTTAAAATGAGTCAACTAATTTAAAATGTCTCCCTTTCTTCCTCTGGACCCTTCTCTCTTCTGGAAGAATGTTCTGGTGAAATTTATTAGAAAGACATTTCCAAGCAGTTTATTCATTTTAAAG